TTTCCTACAGAAAGAAGTATAAAGTTGTAGTCGAGCTGTTAATAGACCTATTGTACCAATGAATCTGAATATAAAGAGGGGCTCTGTGTGCATTTTGTCACTAGAGCAGAGTCGACACGGCGGATATCACAAACAGTAACAATTGGGGACAAGGTTTTATTATCAAATGCAGAGTGGCGCAAAGATTTATTTGTTTTAAAGGAAATGCATGATATTCATTTTCTGCCTAAAACAAAAATATAATATAAAAATAATTGCACATAACTTGAATACATCTTTGATGAACAGTCGCATCGCTATAAGTATTTTGGAAATAAACCTAATGCATATATATGCGTTCGATTGTAGGTGTACAAAAAAGTACTTTTCCACATTTCATTTCCATGCTTATTAAATTAAATTTATTTTCATCGCAAAAAAAATATCTTCGGATCTTTGTATAATGTACATTATGGCATGCAATTTTATGCAGTGTGTATGTATATGGTGCCAAAGTATATTAACGATTGAATTGTGTGTATGCATGAATGATCGCATTTTCTATAAAATATCTACTTTCTTATGTGCACAAAAAATTTGGTCGACCTTCTTTAATCTATGATCCCAGATCACATGCAATAGTAACAACATTGAATGCATTATGCATTATATATTATTTGAATGCATTATGTCAAGCATTATGGTGTACAATGTTTATCAGCAGTCGTGATATGATTGATATTATCATATCAAGAATAATGATAGATAATAATATTGAATGAAAAAAACGCCCATAAACATTATTAATTAATTAGTGCTAAGGTTTTCCAGAAATCACAAAATCCAGAGTCATAAAAAAGCGTTATTGTTCTAATTCTCTGTTGAATTAATGCTTAATCCATTTTCCAAATTAACAATTTTGACAAAAAATAGTAAGGGTGTACTAAAAGCTGTATTTAGGTCGTGGTCATTATTACAGCAAGCAACAAGCCTCTGCTGGTCTATTTGATAAGATACAATGGTTTAGCATTTACATATAATTCAGAATATCAGAAATGTGAAGGGAGTCGCGACACGGAATTAAAATTGCAACGACATTTCTATCGAAATAATGTCCAACTCTAAATTTAAGATTACATGGGCTGCTGCATACATGCAAAAGTTGCGAGCACACTTATTCCACTCATCTACACTACATATGCGCAAATACAAAAAAAGGTAATCCCCCAACCAACATATAAGATTGCCAAGCTGTGCCTTAACACACAATACGTTGACTGTTGTCTTAGACTGAATGGAAAAGATTGCACCACACAAACAGTTGACTCGAGTAGAAACTGCTGAATAGTGCTGAACGACTTTGTACAACAATGCAGATTTTAAAAGCCAACTAAATGAGATTCCACGTACATAATGCCTTCGACAGTAGCCATATGCAGCCACTACTCACTATAGGATGATAAAATACATAATGATAATCATGTAACCGCATTGCAGACTTCTCTTCGAGCCATAGAAGAAAGTAAAACATGTACATTGGCTAGAGCTCTGGGATGCAATGCAATCTGCACACTAAGAACACCATAGTCGGCAGCAGCAGCGTTGAAATTAGGCCATGCACTCAAACCTCACTCACTGTTCATTCCACCTACCTTCTACATAAGTGGCTTATATAAGTATATATGGATGGGTATAATAATAATAAGTAAAAAAAAAATCGCTTGTATATCTTTTATACCTACGTGCACTCAACAGTTTCAATCATAGCACAAAGGCAGCCTGAATAGTAGAATGCGACAAACTAAAAATTACAAAAACTCGAATGCCCTCGTCATATAATTTTCAATGTCCCGATGGTACAGGCAAAAAATATATATTACACTCGAATATGTTATATATCTCGATTGAGGTTGATCATCGTCAATGTTTCAAAATTATTGCGACTCCCGATGTCCTAATAATTCATTCTTTGACTTTGCAGAGACTTATCTAAGATGCCTAAAATGTGCCAGGTACATTTTCAAGCAAGCATTGCATTCAATGAAAGCAAGTTGGAATTTTTTCGGACAATGTTCATTGATCCTAGATAAAATTGTGATCCTATGAATGCATGAGTAACATGTAAATTATCTATTCAAAGTTAATATTAAGATACTCCATAGAATATAATCCGATGTTACGGAATAGAAAGAATTACACTTATTACTAAAATGTACATGTACCATAATTCTACAAATGTAAAAATATTACTCCCTGCTCCCTGTAGTAAATCACATGACACATAATCGTATGGTGCATACGTATGGCATAGGGGCCATCCATAAATTACGTAACGCAAAAATCATCATTTTTTAGACCCCCCCAGCCCCCTCGTAACGGCATCGTAACGCTTCTCGACTACCCCCCTCCCCCTTCGTAACGTAACGTAAATTTGATTTCACCGCAGGTAATTTCTTTAACAGTAACTTGCAAAATTTTCATTTGTTCCAGGTTGTGTAGACAAATGTCGCTTTTATTGCTTCTATTTCTTTTAAATTGCTAGATAAATTAGAATTTTGTGAATTTCTTGTTCAAGAACAACGAAATCATATTCGACATCATCATATAAGAAATGGAAATTGTAAATCTTACAGGTCTCTCAACGTTTACCAAGACTCACAATGGAACCTTTTGTCAAGTTGCACCCGGAAAACTATCGTATGACCATTAATAGATGAGTACAATTCTTGACAACCATCATGCCTCCTAAGTGACCTCGTTGGGGCTCAGGTGATCGGCAAATTCGATCAAATTCTCATCTTAAAGGTAAGGCTCAATTAATCGTGAAACTTACGTCACACCATCGCTCTCCGAGGTCACTGTGGAGGAATGATGGTTCACAAGTAGGCAAGAATTTTGCTCTTCTTTTAATGTGAGCACCATAATGAAAAACGTATTTACATGCGTACACTGAAACCTTCTGGATGACATGAGTTCAATTCGATTTTTAATCGCGTTTATGAAATGCGTTACGTAACAAATTTGTTATACCCCCCTCCCCCTACATAACAATTCGTAACGCTCTTCCCATGACCCCCCCTCCCCCCTCTTGCGTTACGTAATTTATGGACGGCCCCATAGTACAATTGGCTGATTTCAGAATTAAGCATTATATTTCGTGTTTCGAGTAAGAAGAATGACCATTCTTTGCTTACATGAGTTGTTTGTTGTATTTGTACGGTCGTTATAAACTAATTAATAAATCTGCTTATGTACTAGGATTACACTCAAATGGATCATCTTCAACGCTAACCACTAATTAGCTAACGATAGCCAACCACAATTGATAGTAGGATTGACTGAGAACTATGTATGTAGGTGGCAACGGATAGGAATCAATGACATTCCATCATCCCTCTAGGATTTACACATACACGGACGACATGGTTTTCCATATATACTTCACATGATTATAATTCCCAAACATTTACAGTTCTATTGTAACTTTCCAGCTGAAATAAATTGATTCATCAAGTGATGGAAACAACATAAAATGTAACAAATTGTATGTATCAGAGTGACGAAATTTAAATAAATTAACACTAGTAGGCTTAAAGTGCATCACCATTGGCGGTGGTACTGGCAGTCTATATGCAGATGTACAAAAGGCGTTAGGACATGGTTTTGACGAATTCGCGGGTGAATATCTCTGGTGGGGAGTTGAATTTTGAACTGATTTTTGGTCAGTTGCAAGATAATACTCTCAAAAAGATATATTTAAAATTTTAGGCCGATAGCTTTATAAATGCCCCCTCCAGTGCCCCCAGAGTTGGAAGGAGCCAAAAAAAACACTTTCCAAACTGAATTACTCATATAGCATGATAACCCAAGAGGTCAGAGGTGAATGATTGTTAATATTACAACCCTAGATAATCATTGCATGTAATAATAAAAGAATCTACATGAATTACATAACGTTGGGCCTCCATCGTCGCTGATACTTTTTCATGAAAATTGATAAATCGGACTGTGCGCAGGAAAATTGACCTGCTGACCTTGAAAGCGGACCCACTCGGTCAAATGAAGATTGAGGGCAAAGCTCTAAGTGTCCCAAATAATATTAAATTAAACAGTGAAGATTTTGTGTAAACAGTTTTGGAGAGCGACCCTAGCTAATCAGCTGTCTCGGAATCCTAAAAAACTCGTGAACTTATTTGGAAAAATAATGGTCAAATTTTTTCGAAAATAAATTTTACTAATCTTTTTGTGTCCCCTACTGCAGAACTATTTTATCTACAAGGTACAAGTGACAAAATAATAAAATTATTGCGTTTTGGTTAGTTAAATTATTTCTGAAGTTCGACATCGAAAACGACGGGAACTTTTCCAAAAATTTTATAAGGTCTGATGAAAACTCAGTCCGTGGGGTGTAACCACTTATCAAAATTTTGTCAAAAGTACTTACAGTGCAATATACTATATGTACCTTGGATAAAAACCACGTTAGGGATTTTTAGCATAAAAGTCGTAAAATGTGGGGGCCTAGAAAGTGGAAGAGTTGCGTTAAAGAGCGCATTCCATTAGGACAAGTATGAAATTAGACTGCAAAACGGACTTAAAAGATAAACATAAGGCAAACGTGGTTTTATATAGTGAAAAGCATGCTAAGTCCCTTAATAATAGTCGCAAAGACGATTTTTGCATCAGGACCTCAGAAAAAAATATTTTGTTCAACGCCATTTTATAAGAACACTGGTTTGGAAAACTAAAAAAGGACACCTCTCCAAATTTGACCTTGCCTCATTTCGCAGAGTACACAAAATCGGAAGCCAGATATGCTTACCTATAGTTTGAGACATGGGCTTTCACATAAAAAATGTTAGAAATCTCTAAACACCATCTTAAAAACCATCCCGCAATTAAGGTATGAATTCGTCAAAACCATGTCCTAACGCCTTTTGTACTGTTGCAATGTGATTTCCAAATGTTTCTGTAGTGTACATATTCCATAGTAAATCAAGTTTAATGAAATGAGAACTTACCCCATCATTGCCAAGGAACTGTAGAGTTGCATTCTGTCCAGTCTTTTGCTGCAAAACCACAAAATCATACTCTGTTAATGCTTTACTATAATGGCATAAATTTTTAAATCGTGAACTTGAACCACAATACAGGAAATTGTAGTTTTGGATTTAAATGTGGATTTTAAAATTTCAATGAGTTTCATCTCATTTATGCACGAAATGGTTCAATTTAAATACAAATTAGTTCCCTAAATTTTCTTCAATTGTGAATGGATAAAAATGAAAGACCCAGATTGTGCCTTGTGTATGTGCCTTTTAGTAAGTATATGTTATTATTTTATGTAGATAAATTAATAATAATCAAATTAACACATTTTCTCACTTTCGCAATTCATTGTAGTGTGAGAAGGTTTTTATCAACTAATTCAACATTTTTACATTATTTATTCTGTATTTCTTTAACACACGTTATAAATGCAATCATAATCTACAGTACGATATATCAGTGCATATGTAAATAAAATATTTTTTTGTATGTCCCATGAACCGACAGGTTGGTGCTGATTGGACTGTATAACTCTGTCACTACCAACGTTAACTTATGTTTCTTTTCCTTCGTTTGCGAGAATTATTCCATTTTTGTCTTTATTCGTAGCAACCGGTCGAGTGTGTACATTTTGCTTGATTCCGTCGATTTATATCGTCTATAAAATAGCATCGCTCATTAATACTTTATACTAATTATAAATTAGGCCAAGGATAAAAGATTTTCATATCCATATATTTTCACAAGTTCTTTTTAATGCTGCTGACATTTGTAGAATTGATCCTATTAAACCTACATATTTCGTCAAAATTGCAAAAATATGTATGCTATGTACATGTCGCGGGATCATAGATTTGGTTGCGATCACTTATAGCTTTCCATTACACATGCACGAAATACTTCAAATTGCTGAGATTGATTTACACACAAAATTTGGCGAATTTTATTTTATTTACAGGAAATCCCATCGAATATGAATATCTACAAGTAAATTATGTTTACTCAGAAACAAAATCCAAATCTCTCTTATGTTGTATGTAAATATGTGCAACCAATTGTTATTTGACACATTATTTTAGCCTATAAAAATATTATTTTCATTAATACAGTAATACGTTTGGACATCCAGCTCTATTAAATAAGTCTTTTAGTGTTCATTGGTTTTGTGGTTACAAAACATTTACTTTGATGTTCCACATCAGAAATTCCTGAAGAAAACATTTATATTTTACACCGTAAGCAGTAATTCTCCGGGAACAGTGCAAATTGCACTGTACAATGCAAGATATTTCACGAGCATAAAATTTTTCGATTCAATTTTACTTATGGATGACTGAGAAATAAGTCTCCAATGGAGACAACCAAAGACCAATTCATCATCGCATCTAACTTACCTGCATACTTATTTGTGATGACTTTTGTAATATAAATTATTTCGCCAAACTATTTGAATACTAAATAAACCATCTATTTCTTGTAAATTTTTTTACGTCATTTCCACCATCATTTTAGGACACCCATATGGCTATAAAATAGGTAAGACTAATGATTCCGCTATTACAGCTTGGCGTATTACGCACTCTGATATCCTACTCTTCTATAGTTCAAGTGAATTAGTGTATCACGTGGTGACAAGTTCAAAAGATCTGTAATGAAAGAATCTATCATAATGGATAGGATTGTCGTGGTGATGGTGAGAAATCAAAAATCAAACGACCTTGTCGTATCCCATTGTGTGTAGCCCAAACGCCAAGTGATCACTACAGTACAGCTCAACTTGCTCAACCATAAAAATAATTGTCTCAATGCTAGGAAGGTCAAACTCGACTCAACACAGGTCGACAGTGAGTAAATACACTTGATTGCACTGAACGTTAAAACATTGAAAGTAAGTGGCCTTCAAGCCTTTTTCTTTTAGGGGATAATTCCTCTCATTCTGATAAAAATAGCAACAAATGTTCACAACAGGTTTGGTTTCATTTACGATATGTATTTTTTTATGCCAGACTGGTCACCCTGCGAACAAGTAAAACTACAAGTATTTTATGCAATTTTAGATTTTGCCATAATGGGCGACAAAAGTAGTTACATATGCTTAGTAGACTGATCAGGATATACACAACTATATTCTTGGAGATGTTGTACATACAAGTATGAAATCTATTTAAAAAACAAGGAAACAATTTAGGTTGCAATTGCACATTGATTACACGTTCGCATCTTTACTTATTAACAATTGATGATCGAAATACCCTAACAAATTGTATTCGAGATAATTCGCGAAGCTCTCCGCTGCACCCAAAAGTTCTAAGTGTTTAATTCGAAAATAGTTACATAATTTCATCATGACTAGATAATTTTTGCAATCAGTTATTAACACAATTACCCGAAAATCAAAATAATATCTTAAATGAAAATCAAGCTGGATAAAGTTGGGGGAGAATAGAACATTGGTGTTTTTATTTTTGTGTAAATTAATTTCACATTGTCAAGATGCGACTTATATGCAGATTTAAATAATTCGATCAACATGAATAAAATCTCTTCAGTTAAATATTGTTTTTGTTTTTACGTCCATAATAATTCGTTACAAGCGTTGTTCTAGTTTTTTCTAGCTGCCTGTGGGTACACAAAAATGAGACTCCAAACTTTAGAGTCTCCAGACAAACTCCAAAGTTAGGAACAATTAAAAAATTGGACTAGTTGGATACTAAAAATCATATCCAAAGGCAACGGCCACAACCAAGTTTATTAAGAATGTAGTAAGTATGAAGTTTTCTGAGATACTTGCATATGTCAACTTTACGCACAGCAAAATAATACCGCATTGTAATAAGCGAGAGTACACCTTTCCATGTCCCCTTCTTCCTTGTGCATTTTGTTACGCATTTTGTTAGGAACTGAAGGGAAGTTAAAGGAAGGGAAGACCTGTGATCACAATGGTATAAAATCTAGATGTGTGCCTACCTGGTTGGAGGGTGAAACTCGTGCTCTGTTTTTGGACCCGACTAGATCGTATTCCAGTTCTCAAACTTTGAATTGCCATAATAATATAATGCGTGAAAAAATTGCTTGCTCCTTTTGTCCAACGGTCCATCACGCTGGCAAGTCTTACCTACATACATATGCTTTGCCTAGTGGAAGTAAGTAGGGAGTACTTCCTCTCGTTTAGAAACATGCAGTTGAATATTATGGGATACGCAAATAAATAAATAAGCAAACCGAGAAGGGAGCCAAGGAACGACAAACCTTACTTTAAAGGGGTTGGTTGGTTTAGAAATAAGAAGTGTAAGAACATTAAGGAGGACGAAAAGGACTCCTCGGCTCCTGCTAACCTTCACCTAAAAATGGTCTCAACTTTGAAAGAAGAGATCGTCCATATCAAGTAAATATGCTTGGTCGTCCCCACTCATCCCCAAAAACAGGGTTTGCCTAAGACGGGAACAGCTTCTATCTCAGCTGTCTGTCTATCTCTCCGAACTTATTATTGTCAAGTTTAAAGCTCGTTCTGATCAAATCCTTTATCTACACTTGCTCAGAAGGGTAGGCAGTAATGATACAGAACGACGATATGCCTCTTCACACTCAAATAAACCACATTCATACGTATAAAATGAAAGTATAGTGGGACACCCGGTTTTTCGTCTACATAATTTCCTACCCTTCCCTTCTTGCATGAACTTTTCTTGCAGTTTTACTTTATATTTTGTGTTCGTTTGTACGGTCTCATCGCATTGCATTGCATTTAGGGTTTCTAAGTTTCTTTACTTTTATTGCTCCATTTTCATTGCAGTCACTCTGGGTATATTTCTCTAGCCACAGGTCGGAAGGGACACGAGTCATGTAGGGCGAGAGACTCATATGGACAGAGACGAGGGACACGAATGAAACGCATTTGTATTCAAAATGACGACATATGAGGAACATGTACATAAATAATTAATGTCAATGGGATTTTTGTTTAATCCAACAAAACGCGTGATTGAAAGATTGGAGATTAATCTATGCATGGTCATCAAAAAAGTTTTTAAATTATCAACTACTCATTAATATATGTACATTTGTTTGTATTGTATGAAGTACTACCCTTGAGTACTAGTTTATAAAAAAGATGGCTTTACACTGTTCAACTTAACCTGGCAAACCATTTAATGATTTTCGGGTTATTTGGGTACAATAAAATCATGATGGTGATGACATATAGTTATCTACCACTTATCTAATTTGAAATTTGCACTGTCGAACCTATGAAGGGCTAAAACGATGGTGTGTGAGTGTGTCTGCTAACTCTTTGGTACAAATTATAGATTATATTGTGCTCATCATCAATGAAGATTCAGCACCAAGTTTCAATGCTGAGTGAGGGAGATTATGCATTAGTTTGCACTGCCTACTTGAAATAGTATGTACGTAGATAACCACAAAGTCAAAGAGTGTTCAATTTGCCTCTAATTTTACGGCTTATTTATGATGTCGATAACAACGCTTTGTTTAGGACAGAAGGCCTAAATTTCCGAGTCATTGTAATGATTCATCATAATGATTAGCAGGTGGGTGTATACACTGGAACGTTGTTGGTTTGACTATTGAATCTGTTTTGTGCGGTGGGAGTGAGGCGAATAATAAGGGTTGGTTTGATACCGTTAATTAATTTCAAAACTTGAATTTCGTGACGTACATGTAGTAAAGTAATTCCCCCAATCCATTCACAGTCCATTCAGTAATGAATTTTTTTGTGAGATTATATAGCCATTACAATATCAACGAGATTCCTCATTCGCCAAATAGCTTGTCCTAACTCCTCCCAGCATCCCTTGCCCTTTCATTTCGCAAACAAACTGCATCTTGTTGCATTTATTATATTTTTTTTTACTTGCTGCATTTTGCACACAGCTATTCTACTAGCATACATTTTCTAAAATATCCTTAATTTTTTGTATTATATAAACATGCAGGTTTCCATTCCGCACGGTGGTTGTATTATATTGGTTTGTAAATCTTGTTAATTTATATTTTGTCAACATATTTTAGCAATATTAATACTCGGATTGTGAAAGAATATTTCGTTTGTGTGGCTGGGTGTATAAAATGTACGAGTCGTTTTGCGATTTGGTTGAACGAATATTATATGACTTTTGCTCTGGTATGCCAGACTCATTTCATGAACGAAGTGAAGTGATTCATCAAATTCGTTTCAGTTTGCATTTGTTTTAAGCAATTTGGGTATAATATGTACATGTGAAAAATAGTCATGACAAACTTCATGATTTACTCTCAATACAATTCAAATGAATACCACCATACTCTATTTGTCCTTATCCATTGGTAAACATAGTATTTTTTTCTGCTTTTGAACAATATTTTTGTGACACGATGGAAAACTCTGTCATTACTTTTATTAATTTACAAAGATATCCATGTTAATTAAGAACTTATTTTTGTTCTGTATTGGGTTTGACATGATCACAACTAATAGCCTGGCAAATTGATAGCCGGTAGCATGTAGTACAATATAATATAGATAGCAAATAAAATATCTCCCATTTTTCTATCCGCAAAATTTTAAATTATTAGAAAAGATGTGCCCAATTAAGTAAGTGAAGTCCCTCAATGGGTGAAATCTACGAAATCGTTTATAAAGCTAATTTCATTATGAAGAAACTTTTCTTTCTTCAAGATTTGGCCGGGATCCAATAATTTGAAATCCGCACTGAACTTTTGAGTTGTCATACACGAAATACACTATATTCACTACATACTATTTACATTATCTACAGACAGAGTGCTGCGAGGAGACTATTAATTTGCATAGTACAATTAGTACAATGCAATGTTCCATTTTATTTTCGTTTTGCTAGAGCCTATTGTTTCAAACAATAAAACTGTTTGCTGTTCGTCACGTTAAAATTCCCATAATTGTACATTGTTGAAATTGTAGGCATGCCATATTATTATGAGGTACAGTTTATTGTGTAATTCCATAAGCAAGAGGGAGTAAGAAGAAAGATTATTCATATTTTGGCAAATTTTTAGATTAAGAACAACTTCTTCATGAAGAATGAACCTCTCCGATGGATGAACGAGTGTATTTTTCGCAGTGCAATTAAAAAATATATACGAGAGCTTACCTGTGTCCTCAGGTACTCCTCAATAGCTCTAATAGCCGAATCAGTTAACTTAACGAAAAGCACGGTTTTGTTATTGGTAGCAGTTGCATTGTTAGGGGCGGAGGAGCTCGGATAAGATGACAATCCATACTTGACACCTTCGATAAGGGCCATACTCACTGGGGGCGAGTTTTGGTTTCCAAGTTATTCCGGCTGGCAGTATATTTTTTCAACACCACTCACTTTTTACTCTCTCTTCGTCGCAAGTCGTACTACGAGGTGGATAGATATATAATATAATAGGATTGCAAAACTTCACTGATTTTTCACTGATTGTTCGGATTGATGTTTCCTCCCAGAGTCCAAAAAAGAAGTATTTTTTGGCAAATGAGCAGATTTCGAGTTGAGTTGTAAATTTTAGTTTCCCATGAATGCAATTTTATTTTTATACTCACTTCAACATGTAACTTCAAAACCCAAAACCCAACTAAAGGCAGCAGCAGCTCTCGTTCAGTCTCTCTCTTCATCCACCACCACCACCACACTATGGGCAATATCTCTAAAATTGTGGTCAAGTCTTATGGAAAATTCCCCATATATTTTAGTGTCTCAAAAAATCAAGCAAAAAATCTAGATTGTAATAAATAAAAAGATTAGCTGCTACGCTAGCTAATTCTCGACAGCTTTCCTGCCGAGAAATTAAAGGTAAAAGTTTTGGCAATTTTCTTAGGTGCGACAAAAATATAATTTGCTGTAATTATCTTACAAAACTTTAACTTGATTTGCTTATCCCAAACAATATAATAATCCATGCCATATCAATTTTTTACTTGCCAAATTTTTGCAAATTTTATTTTTTGTCATACCTTAGAAAATGACTAAAATTTTAATCATTAATTTCTCGTAGGGAGCAGATCAGGTTATCTTTCTGCTACAATTAAGATTTTTTTAGACATTCCTCTAAGGAGGAATTTCTAAATTTTTAGAAAAAAAAATTTCTGGCCAGAATTTTATCGATTTGGCCCAAGGTGCGCCACCTCATTCGACTAACTAAGCAGTAACCTGCCTTGAACAAAGGAATCGCTACGCCATGAAACTCTTCAGCTTATGAAAGCCTTACCATTTCTGAAAATTTCCAGAATAGACAGTCAAAACTTTACAAACTAGCCACTTGTCCAGTAGGGTAAGGTTATCAGTAGGAAAAACCAACGACTATATGAGCTATGCCTACAATTTATGATATTTAGTACATACATATATTTATTATAAGAGTTTTCATGATGGTAATTTACGATGAGATAGTAGTTAGTTAGTAATACAAGTATGCAAACAATAGGAAATGAAGTATATACGAATTACCAATTTTTACTGTAGTTTATTGTTAATCTATTAAATATTAGTGAAACTGTAGGTAAGTGTTCTGGTCGTCAGATTTAATTGCAATCGGATTAAATCGGTCAAGAGTTGTTGTGGGTTTGGCGGTGGCGGTGACTCAGTCTGCTATATATTTTCATTTTAGAATTTCTGAGCTTGATTCATTCACTTCTTCAGTTGCACTACGAAACCATTTCAGTAGGACTTACATAGACAAAATAAGAGGTATTTATATATAGAGGTTTGTAGTAATGCAATATATATATATGTATTTATATATATATATATATATATTATATTTATATGTCTAATTTAATTACCCACAACAGAACAATCAATCCAACAAACAACAATGAATGTTTTAATTTTTTCAAATGTCCATAAAAGGTCAACGCAAATGAAACGTATAAAAGAGGCGGATCGGAAGTAAGGAATGGAAAAAATGAAAAATTAATTCAAACACAAATTCTCATTGTATATAAACGCATCACTATACGAGTTTAATAAGTTTCAAAGATGTATAATTCATTATAACTATAATCGTAAAAGGTACTGAATTTAATTAAATTTAAATAAATTTAAAAATTCACATGGTGTCGTCTATTATTAACTTTAATTTATCTATCATCGATTTTTACGAACGATTTTACTTAAAGTTGTGTATCTGTACGAACAATGAAAAACGTTGCTTCTGGCGCAATAGTTGATAATAATAAGAAATTTATCTAAGATTAATCATTAATCGAAAACATGATATATATTTATATATAAGCCGTTGTTCGGAACCAAGAAAATCATGGGTAACAGCAGCTTAATTTGCCGCTTACTTACGCGCACAGTACAATGAGATGATTTAAACAACTTCGAGAATATGCTGTGTTTTTTCTTCTAATAACACTCATGAGACAATCTATAACTAATCATTACAATTTGGTTTTTAGATGTACATTTGACATCAAGATGTAAAACAGAAAACACTAAATTGTTGTCTGAATGTGTGCATGTGTAAAGGGGGGGGGGAAGAGGGTTAGTTGTTTCCCCAGTAGGGTCCTCCGCTGTATTGTTGCTGTTGTTTTCCTTTTGGCTGCCCTGGGCCTGGCCTAGATGCATTACCACCAGCATCCTATAATTAAAACAACACAAATTATGTTTACGTTTTTAAAGACTGCAAATTATTCGTACATATGAACAATCAAAGAGAATTATTTGATATAGTAGAGTGAAATGAGTGGATTATGTACAGAGCAACACAAATTAATATATGTAGTAACAGGTCAGCTTTTTAGCGCAAGCAACAGTCACATAACCAATCACGATATACCCAACCAACTATACTCAAAGGCTAAAATCATCATACATACTTCCCATATAAAAGATGCACATCATTTAATTTGGTTAAAAAATCCCTGCATAAACATATACATCGTGGATGTATTTTTTGTAAATTTCTGATTATAATACTTTAAACACACATTAGCATCGCAAACTTTCATTACGAGTTTCATATATCACACTGCCCATGTATAATGCAAAAACCAATAGACCCGATATATTATTAGTTGGATTTAACAGATCAACAACCACGTTATTAGTTGTATACAGCATCAAATCACAACTGTGCAAAAAGCCAAACACAATTGAAAGAGAAAATAATAGAGACTTGATGCATAGGAGGAAGAGTATGTACTGCTTGTGATGGGATGAAAACGCTGTATGACGTGGCCATTGCGTTACTCAAATTGTTTAATACGTTTGGCTGAGCACCGGAGCTGAATCCCCCCTGTCCCCCAGGTCCAAACTGTTTATCATACGACTGCAAAGTGTACGTACGTTAGGTTTTCTAGATTTACCATTCATAAAAATCACATTAATTTAATGTGCTTCTTACATTAATTTTCCCCATGTGTCCCTTATAAATTGAGGAATTTAAGTCAGTCGATTGGGAAACGCCAGTTGTTGAACCTTTCGTACTGTTGGAGTTGGGTCCACTTGGATAAGAACCTTTGTTGTTAAAGTCATTTGTTGGACCTCCCTGATTGGTGTCGTAAGCGTACGAAGCATTGTACACGCTTTTATTTTGATACTGATGGTTAACTGCTGGCCCGGAAGGGTTTGTCGCTGGAGCCATTGGTTGTTGATACATATGTGTGTAAGGAAAAGATCCTTGTACCATGTTATTCCCTACATAAAAGTATGGCATGGCTTGGTTGTACATGGCTTGCTGTGTATTTCCACCTGCGAGATTCGACGGAACAGGAGAGGCCGTTGAGCTGTCAGACCTACAATATAGCAAATACAGTTTCGCATACAGTTTTTTTAAATTTTACATAACCGTTAAGTAAATCCGCTAACCGTTGAAATCTCCCGTCAGCTGCGTTGGAATAAGCTTGCATTGTTTGGGCGTCATTTCGTCCAGAAACTTGGACGCCTAGGTAGAAATGCAGATATACACATATACACACAAGATAAAATAATATGAATGTTAACTTGGTATAATGACACTTACCATAACCACCCGGACCCGTGGCATCATAATAACCAAAGTTTGGAGGTAGCCTTGGCATAAATTGCATAGAGTTATCTTCGTATCCGTAAACTTGCGTTTGTACACCATAAAATGGAACAGCTGGCGTATTTTGACTAAGAATATATGGAGGCATAACCATTCCCGGTGGCATCATCTTAGATGTCGTATTAGTCGTTGCTGGAACAGATGACGACTTTGCATTCGATGATGTAGAAGATGTGTTTCCGGCTGTAGTACATAAAATAAACGGTAATTATTTTTATTACTATCATTTTCAATGGATTAGACATAGTAAAGTAGGAAAAATAAATCTAATTACAGGGTAATTCAGTCCCGTAGTTCCAATCCTCACCTGATCCAGGTTGCACGTTTGATCCCATCTGAGAAGTTGCAACCGAGCCAACAGACGAGGCTGGCATAACATTAGCACTAACATCAGTCGTTGATTCTTTTATACCAGTCGTTGTGTTCAGTCCTCCCATCTTGGGACCATAGCTTGCATACTGTGTGTTACCAGATGAATTGTTATAGCTGTAAGAACAAAATATTTAGTTCACTCAAATTGTCAGAGCTGTTGGTTTTTAAAGTGTTAATCACAATCGCAAATCAATCAATCACTCACCCTGAATTGACATTAGAATTCATATGGTAACCACTCTGCGGAGGTGCCGTGCTACCAGGTCCATAAGGTACGTTAGCGTTTTGAGAAGAGGCAACAATAGGCTGACTTGAAGTATTTGAAGCTGTTCCATACGCAATGTGTGACATGTATCCCGATTGTTGATTTGGTATCTGTTGTTGTGAACCATAAACAGGACCCCCCGTAGCTGCAGTTGAGCTATAAGTATTTTGTGACACTGGAGGAAATCCAGGGGCAGGAAAACCAGGCGCAGGTTTATTGCCTGCATGTGCATACTGAAAAAAAAACGCAAACAAATTTATATGCCATTCAACATTCGATGTAGTGAATTGGGACTGACTGAAGCTAGTCTTGGTACTAATTATTTATATTAGTATTAACTAATTAGTATAATTATTTATTTATATTATAGTCTCTAAAAAATCACAATAATTAGCTGAAATAATTTCTTACCGATACGAAAGCTGAACCAGCATTATTTCCAGAATTGGCTGCCGCATACGAATTGGATCCAGGTTGTTGCGATTTTGTTTGGTTTTGTGAGAGTGATAAATTATCTATACCACCACCGGGAGTGTTACTAGTGCCGGTTAGATTGCTTCCTTTTCCGGGATCAGTAAGGGATGACTGGGCATTGATTGAAGTTTGGAATGGAGATGGGGAGTGGCCGGATGATTTCAAATCTTTGTCGTTTGAATTTCCGGACCCAAAAGAATCCATTTTTGTACCTTGACCTCCATAAATTAAAGTGTTGTCCTGCTTTCCACCCTGCATCACAGAGCTAAACGAGAGGGACGGGTCTGATGAGGACAAGTCTAAGCCACCAAATTGAACGTCTAAAGTCGACCCTGGGTCATCAGGCATTTCAACAGCAGATGAAGGAATCTGGGAGCATATAAAGAATAGAATCACTTTATACTTGCACGGGTAGATACGAAGTTATCATATCAAACGAGTTAAGGGTCGACACCCTAAATGAGTTCCATGGTCATACGCTCACCACAAATATCGATAAATAGTATCACAACTTTACGAAAAAAATCAAATAATTATCACTACAACGCAACTCACTTTGGATGGTGGACCACGTGGCCTTTGCACTTTATTTCGTGGAGGTAAAGCCTGGTTAGAAACTCCGACATTCATTTGATTAGAGTTGGAGTAAGACGACGACTGAAGCGAAGCCAACAAATTTACTCCAGGGTTTGCATGTGATGAAACTCCTGATGAAACTGTAGAATTCTGTTTCGAAAGCAGTAAATTTAGATCAAGAGTGTGCGATCCGGATTGCTGGTTGCCACCGTTCGCTCCAGACCCCGCAAGCCCTTGTACAACGCTGCTCATTGTGACCCCTGATTCTTGATTAGCAGCCATCTTCAAAATGTCTGCTGAAGAATTACTGGAAGCACTCTGAATGTGATTGGAATTTGGATGCCCACTTCCTGAGCCATTAGTGGTATCATTCAAAGGACCCACCGTCGTCTGGGTAGAAGGGGTAAAAACTTTGGTGTCAGCTAAAACACACATTACATCATTAAAGGACTGTTTAAAACCAAGAATAAAATATTGGCATGTGAAGTGCTATGCCGTATTAATTATTACCTAATGATCCAGTATATTCTATACAAAAATAAAAGATGCAACATATTAAACACACACATCATTTCAATCTCAAATGGAACGTAGGAGGTGTCTTTAAGCAAAGCTAATTAAATTAGAAATGGTTAACATAAAATCGTCGAAAGAGCCATTAACTCATCATTAAGTCCGAGAGGGCTGGATTAAAAGTAAGACCGAGTGTGTATTTAGGCCGAGGGGTTTTATATTTCGAAATTCGCAAAATTGTATTTGAAACACATTGAAAGGAATAAGGAATAGTTGAAAGAAAGAAAAATTAAGCGAGCGGATGAGCTGATTCCCGAACCTTCATTGTCCCAGTCTTCTGCGGAAGGAAATTCTCCCCATTTGTCTAAAATTTAGACAGAGAAAATCAAATTTTTGCCGTTACATATGTTGTTTACTTTATCAACTATTTTGGTGTGATAAAACAGCATCGTACCGACTTTCATTGGTGCCTCTTTTGTACCGTCTGCTTGATAATCCTAAAATACAAAGATGAACATTATGAATACTCATTGTGGATGGATGTTATACTGTGATAAAGAACACTTACTGTGTTTTCCCACACGTCAATAGTGTTATAACTGTCTCCATCGCGATCACCACGAGCACGGCTAGCAAATGTTCTGCCACCCCCACGAGATCCACGTCCATTTCCTCCGCTGATACCTCCTCCACCTCTGCCTCCTCTCCCAGGACCATTTGTCATTCCGCCCATTCTTCCACTTTTCATGAGCTCCTCGTTTTCTTTGTCACTGCGACCTCCTCTTCCAATTCCAGGGCGACCACCGCGACTTCGAGTGCCTATTCCACTACGACCAGCCCTGTCCCCTCTCCTCTGGTCTCCTGTGAAAGGCTGGTCACCACCACCTTCCAAGTCTTTCTTCTCCCCTTTCAAATCTCGCTTATCTGACTTGTCACGCCCAGTTCTTTCCCCGTCTTTGATTACTCCTCCCTTTCCCTACAAAAATAATTAATTAATTTACAAATTTAAATTGTTGTTCAAATTTATATCAAAGATCGTATTTAAATCTTAGATACTTTAATACTACTACCACTTAAAAAATGCATCGTACACTTACATCTTTGGGTACAACAGCTGTGTCAGACTTCTGATTTGGAGTCTTCACCTTGCGTTTTTTACCTGCTTGAGCTGCATTATACAATCATAAGTCAGTTAATAAGTATAATAAAGATGAATTACATAGTTATTATAGTATATATAATAATTATATGCAAGTTATGTATTTTACTGGCATTAGTCTAGAAATAAATTTTTATAGTGTGATCGTAGTACAGAGTTTTATATAAAAACCGTCGTACAATGATACTCACAAACTAAGAAATACAGTAATAAATCCAGCATTTATAAGAGAAGTACAAAATGTGAGCTACTTGTACTTGAAATATATTGAACATATAGTGTAGTATGAGCAAGATTAACTCCAAGACTTAGTCCTCGACTCTTCGAATTAAAAAAAACTATAACCGTCAGCACACAGGTAGGTGAAATATCACTTTCTATATCAGTATCTGTGACGCAAGGACCAAGAGAATTAGTCCCGATTGGGTTATTACATACAACCTGAATTGAAAATAACGTGTTTTTATATGTTTTGCATTCCGAATTTTCTAATAATTATAGACAACCTGCGGAGTGCGGTTGCACAATGGAGGAATAATTATTTGTAACTTGGCCAGAATCTAACCATTTTTATATTATGGTAGAAAATAAAAGAAAGTAGTTGCATATTTACCCCATTCCGACTCCAACGACTGACTCCCTCCATCCGTGCTGCGATTTAATTAATTGGATGTTATTTACATATTTTTTTTTTAAATTAGAGTGGACAGAGTTAATTTGAGAAAAGACCAACTTACAGAAGTGTAATAGCCATTTCAATATCATACTCTCTGCAAAAATATTGTTATTTATTAAATAACGATACGTGATTACTATTATTCGTCGTGTTGAAATCATATGGGTTTCCCATACCTGCTGTGAAGAGCCATGCAAGCTTGATCCTCTGTTGTTCTCGTGATTTCCATCACTTGCCGAATTTTCTTTTGCAATTCTGGATCTTCAACTCGATGTGAATCCATGATCTTTGCAATTTGCATTTGTTCAGCAGTTGCCACAATCTATATGCATAATATTATAATATTAATTCTTCACTTATGTTATAGATGAAGAGTACCGTTGAAAGATGTTAATCAACGTAAATTAAAAACGACATGTATAACGACACGGTCACATACACAAATATTAAGTGGAGATGAGTGTAGCAGTGGATATTTCACACGAAAATGGCTAATTCTTATACACATGGTAGCCAGCTCACCGTTCAAGTCAAGTTTAGACTTGTTCAGATCCAGCTTATAGTAATTTGTGATGGGTGGTGCAAGCAAGCAGCCGCCGAACTGTCGTCCACCCCACTACTAACAAGTGTCTCATTTGATGAGTGGCCTTCAAGCAGAGACGACCTCCGAACTCATTCTTCTCCAGAATTCAAAATTTATCATTGGTGAGTACAGGTTATGCAATAATTTTGAAACATTTAACTTATAGCTCAATTAATTCTCTCCTCCCTGTCTAATTAATATTATTATATATTTTTCAGTTTAACAATGGACAATTCACCAGTGGTAGTGGATTTGGTGTCATCTGAGGAGGAGGAAGATGAATTAGTGATGCGGCCAGTATTACTGGGAAAACGTTCTCATGTCATCAGCAGCAGCAGCAGTAGCTCGGAAGAAGAGAGAGATGAAGGTAAATGTTGTTTTTCAATTAATAAATCTCAAATTAATTATTTCTTCTCCCATTTTAAAGTTATTTTCGATTAATGTGTGTTATTGTCATTGTATAGTTATTGATGATAACAATCTGGTTGCCAAAACTGGAGCAAAACGGCTTTCAAGACCGGCTCGAGATCAGAGAGGTCAACAACAAAGGACCCGGAGTCCACCCCCAACTCGTGCGCCAGGTCCATCTGGGGTGATTACTGTAGCAAGAGGGAGTGGACAAGCCGTGACGTAAGTTTCTCAACATTTTTATATTTGACCCTCGTTTATTGGGATAATCAAAATAGTTTTATTTTTAATTATTTCAGGATTCGTGTTGTCAGACAGTATAGAAGAGTCAACAGTAAGAGGTCAACGTTGCCGGACAAATTCTGGTGCAAATATTGTGGCGCTGGTTTTCCGAGAATATACGCACGGAACAGGCATGTAAAGATACATGAGGGGAAGTTCAAAGGAAAATCGTAAGTCACATAAAATTAATGAGTTACTAGTTAATGTCATTATTATGCATAATAAATTATTATTATTAATTTATGAATATGTTCAAAATTGCAGTTACAAGTCCAAGAAGGGGGCTTATCCATGCACGCATTGCAATGTGGTGTTTTCTTTCAGCACCAATCTGTCGAAGCATATCAGAGACGCATGTCGTTCCATCCCAACAAACCATGTAAGTACTTATATACAACTGTTATGAAATAATATGGGCAAAGTATGTAACTTTGTTTTTTGAACAGGACTCTGAATGATATGAAGAATATAAATCCTTTGAATCACAATTCAGCGTTGAAGAATAGGGGCGAGGATCCGTTGGACCCAAATAACGAACAATTTGAAGTGGACGTCAAAGATATGCTCAATTGGGTGAAGGAATTTGCTGCCGCTCAACAGCGAAGAATTGACCTCCGCCCATCATCGGTCTACTTGGCTGCGTCACTCGGCCAAAATTTTGACCCCAAAATACACAAACCATTCGAGTTTGTCAGGAACGGAGATGAAGGGATCCGATTTTATATTGGCTTGAACTCTAAAACAATTGGACTTAATTATCATCATCTCCAATTTCCGGAGAATTCACCACTTGGGAAAGCTGACAAGTCTGGAGAAACGTGTGTCCTCCTAAAAACTTGGGGATTTGAGGTGGGCTGTCATGCCGAGAAAGTCAAACTTGCTCGTGCTTTGGAGGCATCCTTGATAGTGAGTTTCAATTGTAGTAAAATTTGTAATTGTCATTTCCTTTTTATGCATCAACATTTACTTATATTGGAATGTTTTTTTGGTTATTTCAGGAATTTGCCCTTACTAGCCAAGAATTTAAATCTAACGATGGGAGGGAGTGCAAGTTCTACAATCAGCAAAGGGAATTGGTTGCGTTTTTTGAATGCAGCAGTGAGGAACAGCGGAGGGCGTCGCTGGAGAAAGCAGTGAAAGGGGTACCATTCATATGCTGTCAAGAGGACTGTCAATGCGAGGCGATTGCACATTTCAAGAGTGGCGAGTGTACTCCAATCAAGTTCCCTCTCAAAGAAAAGGGTGTCGTCAATCCGTTAAACATCGGCTCGGCCTCAAAAACATCCTCCAAGACGAAAGTGGACAAGAAGAAGAAGAATCCTCTAGTTACCCCTGCCGAAATCAAAGTTGAAGTCGACCGTCGTCTGAAAGACCTTCAGGAAAGGAGGCGACAAGACCCCGACCACGAACACCATGTTTACATTACCATTTTGGCAAGAAAACAAGATTTTCCTGGACTCTGCACCGCCCGGGATATATGTAGGGCAATAAACAATGGTGGACATGCCCAGGCCGTAATTTTATATTACGTGGGAAAAGGAGAACGTGATGGGATGAACAAATATCACAAACATCGTCCTGACCTCAGTGCCGCTGCAAAGAAAGCAACCGGTGGTGACTATTGGGTCATACAAGTAGCAACCTTCAAGTGTCCCAGTTTGGAGGAAGCAGAGAAGTTGGAAGCAAAGTTATTGGTAAGATCAGTTTTAATTTTTTGTACAAAAAGTATGTTTAAAAAATATGCATACTTATTATAATTTGCATGTTTTTGCAGATATGTTGTCTGCTGCAAGCTCGGAAGAAGATGGTCGGAACAAATTTCAACTCATTGAATAAAGACATGCCATGGTCTGCTTTCAACAAATTAACAGAGGAGGAGAAACTGCAATCCGTCCGAATGGGAGTTGCTGGAGTTTCTCCGATAACTTTGCAAGGAGTTGTTCCCCATTTCACAATGGGAAAAATCTCATTTCCCGTCAATTTGGGCCATGCAATCAAGAAAAATAACATTTTGGATGTTACCAGCATTGGCCCTTCTAAGGATTAATTGTTTTACATTATACATTCATTTCTGATTTATGACAAGCTTATTAATTTGGACATATTTTTCGAAATATAAATTCTGGGTAGTTTGTTAGCAAATTAATTGTCTCTTTCCTCCTTCACTGCCACACTCATTTCCACTTCTACTTAATATTTGCCTACTTGAACGTCTCATTATATGAAATTGGGTGTAATTTTATACAAGTAATACATATTTTTTTGTTGTGTATACCATTGTTCGTTATTATGTAACATAATAATGCATATAAGACAAACTTCAAAAAATAAAAAAGGAACGGGAAATGAACATATGAATCAAAAAATCATACTCATCATAAAGTTGAAAAAAATAAACATACCACAATCTTTGGGGTGAGATCAAGTTTGTCTGATTTTGAATCTGACTTGCTGGACTTTTTACTGTTGTTGTTATTGGTAGAGGGATTCTGTTGTTGAACCCCCCCTTTCACAGGGCCTCCTTTTGTCGTCGTCGCACCACCGGAACTCATCCTGATTTGGTAATTTCACTCACGTAATAAGGATTTATAAAATTGCTACCTATATACAGCGGCTGTATGTACAACAGAAATCTGGAAATCAGAAATTAAAACATAATTAACTAAGATCCATGTGTGCTTGATGAACGGATTTTATATTTTAATATTTAGGTATTTTTTTGATGATGAAATCGCACGTGTCTATGTAGCTGTTGTATAGAAAAATACTCCAGAAAGAAAATTCCCGAATGAAATGAAATACAATCAAAACCCTTGAAATAAAACTGCACGACGGTCGATAGTCCGGCCAAAATAGTAATCCAAAAAGCAAAAAAAAACATAACCATTATTGTGCAAAAATGTTTTAAACTGCCTAGTACATAAATCTCGTATATTAAATTGAATTGTCCCCAGATGCCGAATGTAAAACGTTGTTTGTAATCACATAAAGCAGAATTACATCACAAAACTTCATAACTCCACATTCTTATTATAATAAGATTTGGTGTTACTTTAAATTTTTTGGAAATGTGCTCAACATAATTGCAAGAATTTTTTGAGTAATTGCACGAAACCCTTTGTGCTAATAAACCCCGATTTTCGCTCGCTTCTGCGACGCCATTGACTCATAATAATAATGTGATGCAAACTGAGTTGGCTAAACTGCGAGTCATGTTAAGAATTGCGGGGGCCTGGTTTGTGGCCTTGACCCCCAGCAAGATTTCCGCCACACGGCCAGAGTGCCTCAGGAAGAAGCTGAGGGTTCACTTGAGCGGTTTACTAATTGTAAATGTCAGAAAATCACGGCAACGACGAGGACACGTACCTTCACAAAATAGTTCTCTCTCCAGTCAGTAAGGACAAAAGACTGAGCGAGAGATAGACGGGACGAACGAATTCACTTTTGCTTTTTTGTGCAAGCGAGTAGTGAGGCTTGCTTTAGATGCTGGCTGATGGTTCGTGTTTTTGTGTGGAATCGTCCGTGTTCGGGCACCAAACCAAATGACCTCGTCACCTCACTCTACGCCGCCAGAGTGTTCTGGACGTCAACCCGGCAGCTGCAGCAAATAATAATAATCCATGTGCGGTTTCAAATTCACTCGACAAACCCATATAATAGTAAGTTATGTTATAATAATAGTGTTGATTGGCTTGTTTTCGCTGGAATTCAATTGTCGTTCTTTGTTTTGTCATTGCTAACTATTGTAGTTGCTTGCTTTCATCTGTTCATTTAAAATTTAAATATAAAGAACAGAATACTATTTTGAATTTTAAGAATTATCTATCATGCATAACAATTTTACCTAATTTTTGCAGGAATAATACGATCATCTAATTAGAGAGAAAATGCCCCTGCCAGCGGTTGGAGGAGCTGCCCTTCTCGCAGATAAAGGCCCCAAGATTATACGTCTAGCATTGCATGGTCATGCTAACCGTCCATTTTTTCACATAGTTTTGACAAATGTAAGTAACTGATTAATTACAGTAATACATGTTAAATATTACTTGATCTCTTCTCTTTACCTGCAGTGTAAAGTGAAACGGGATGACCTCCCTGTCGAGCAATTGGGTACGTATGATCCCATGCCTAATTTGGAGAATCAGAAACTACTAAGTCTAAATGTTGAAAGGACGAGATATTGGATGGGACAGGGAGCTATCTTCTCCACCCCTATAGCAAAACTGTTAGGTACAACTTCATTTATTAGTAGGGTATTATTAGTAGAGTATTACTTAAAGCGTCAGAAGGTAACTATTTTAAAAATAACTTTTTTTTGAGTAGGACAAGTTGGATTTCTAGACATTCACCCACAGACGTATATAGATGCGTGGAGAACGAGATTTGATGACGCTAGAATAGAAGCTGAGACTAAAAAAGCCACAGAGTCGACAACTAACGTTGAAACTGTTCCTGCAACATCGTAATAATGAAATCAATGTAATATGTATGTAATAGAATTAGGTTGGAAAATATTGAGCTCGGATTTAGTGTTTGTCAGCCAAATAAACCAAATAATTACGTTTTTTAAACAGAACGACAATAAAGTCATTTTCCTATAAATTGTACATTTTGTTACAATATTTTATTCATATACTCTCTTACTTGTTTTACAAGTTACAGCTATATGGCAATTTAACTTAGCTATATTCCACGGCCATGCAGCAACAAAGATTGACGATTCGAAAGGTTATTTTATTCGTTGGTAATTTAATGTTGCAGCCTGGGGAAGGTGAAGATGAATATAATCCGAATGTTATCTTCTATGACAGTATCATTTCACTACGAATATTTGCAATTATTTATATGACTTAGGGAGCTATTAACCATGAACATCAAACACGCTTTTCAACGCCAACTCGGGCTTGTCGTATCCCAGCTCTTCAGGTGTACTAATGCCTAATTCGTCAAGGGTTGGTCTAATTTCCTGTTTATTTATAAACAACAAGATTGATACCAGTCCTTGTGAAAAATATTACCTTACACATATTAGATACACTTACCTTAATGACATATGGGTAGAGGTCCTTGTTGACCAAACATCTAAACTTTATAGCTTCCAAGAATCGGGTTGTAAGCGCGTGGTCATTGACGCGACGACAGGCCCTCAATGCGGCGCTAATGATTTTAGGGTCAGGGACCAAATCCATCCCAATCAAATTGTTCATTCCCTGTTGTACAAATTAATTAATAGAATTTTAGGGCATGTTATTATTATTAAAGGCTGCATTAATTTATTAGAGGCTATTTTATTATTTTTTGTTACATACTTTTCTGATCTCCCAGCCATCAATATCCGGGCGGCTGAAATAAGCCACATATCTTGCATCAAATTCCTCGTCTGTCTCTTGAACTTTGTGTGACATATAGCGAGTATTGGAAATCGCTAAATAGAGCAACATAGAAGATAGTTAACCACAACTAAAGATGATAATTCAAGTGGAAGTTGGTAACTTAACACGTAATTTACCTGGTTGTGCAACTCGGGCATTGATGACCGCCCCACGAAAAGCAGCTTGTACGGATCGAGAAACGAGTCGCAACATTTTGATTTTAGTTAGTTATCCCCACAACCGGTACAGAATTGAACTGCAAAATTGCAGTTTACAATTTATATATTTTATATTTATGTGATATAGCAAAATAGCACTTCACACTTGCACTTAATTAATACTTCACAGTTCTAACTTTACCTTGATTAATGACAATCCGGCACGAGCAACAGACGCCCGTTCAAAAATTTTAAACTGCAACTAAAATTAATACAAAATTTTTTTAGTCAAAAACAGCCGAAGAGAGAGATGAAATCCAAATTACACATTAGAGGCGGAAGGTATGTGGCTCTGGGTGCTGGAGAAAGTGGAGAATTGGTCGTCTTTTCCGCCAGAGGGTGCAGGAGACTCTCTCAAGAAGTAGAGATATAAAGTCAATTTTGTCCGTGCCTTGTTTATTACGCGTTGAGCATGATTGACTTATCTCTTGCTTTTAACAATTTCGATTCTGCATGTTTGAAATTAACATTTCCATCTTCAATTTAAAATTAAATTATTTTCACATGGTTACTCATCTGCTTAGGCTCATTTTAGGTCTTGACGATCTTATTAAGAACGCTTGTCGACATATGTCTCACGGTGAGACTCTCACCCCCAAGATTTTTGTTGGTGGAATTTCGAATATTCGAAAGAATAAGAATTACAGAAAATGATAAACAATCCATCATCACAGGGGAAATCAACCTGTCACTCATGAAATCCATTTAAATAAGCTCGTACATATCTGTAGTAGACTATAGCATCAGAATACTAGAATGTACTATAATATACTTACATATGTATAGCAAAATGTGTATATCTTGATTGCTCGGAGCAATGTCGTCATCCTGTTAAAATAAAAAGTGAACTCAAATAAAATCATGGATTGATAGAAAGGTGCGCATAAAATATTGAGTTGTAGGCCCCAGTGATTTGTCAGTCAATGTCCCCTTTTAATATTCTTATAAAGAAGCACTACTTTATGTTAATATCCTGTCTTTCTGTCTGTCCACCGGAGTTCCTACTCTTAAACTTTGAACTTACGTTTTGGGAATCGATATATGAGATCCCAACAACGTCATATATATACTTATCATACCACTTGGTACGAGAGTGACCTAAAACGGGTAAATGTCATCACCTTATGGTGTAAAAACTATTTCTCTTACGGTTATTACAATATGTCTTATCAAGACCTTCATAAAATTTGGTGGTTTTTAAAAGGGTATTGCAATTTGCAATTCCACTAATAATAGACACAGGCTAAAGGTATCCAAATATATATTTTGTATGCTGTACATGATACACAGTTCCATGAATTGGCACTTGGAGATAAGGTAAAAATCGGGTTCATATTAGGAAGGAGTACCTGCAAAACCTACAACATGTATGCGGATACAGAGCTGTTCCTGTCCAATATGACAAATATGAAATGATTTTCACTTTCTCCTTCTTATACTTCGACAATTCTCAATTTTCTCCAAATGCCAAATTTCCGTGTTTTGATAGATATCAATGGGAAAAGGAGTATGGTCAAAGGTCCAATTTCACAAAGTTCAAGAAAATTAGCAAAGGCTCGTTGAAACTCCCTATAATTTCACAGAATGGAGTTATATTTCGCTACTCGGTTATACCCGTTTTATTTTGATTGTTAGGCATCTTGGAATCATACTTATTATTCGAGTTATTATTATTATACACACAAAATATGGAATCGGTGTGAAAAGGGTTGTGATAGATCAAATCGAAAATAACCAAATGAAGGATTTTTTCCTGGTTTTTGACGTGGGTTGTTCTTGTTGCTTTTCTGGTTGGTCTTGACATGTTAACAACATTGTTGCCCGTTCGTAATATCTTCTTCCTACAACGAGTACATCAGGATTGGGCTTTTTTCTTCTCAAATTGGCCTAATCGGATCAAAATGTCTAACCATGAGGGAATATCTTGGTGCTTGCACAGGATTAAAGTGTGTTACCCATTTGATTTAGTTTGGTTAGGTAGATTTTGATTTCAATGAGATTTGGAGTGTATTGTACATTAGCCGTCTGTCTTTTCGCTGTTGATTTAAAAAACATGAAGAGTTGTTCTTTTTATTGCTAGCAACTCTTTCATTTATTTATGCTATAAATCCTAATTGACAAATTTAATTCCTAATTTGTTTTGTTGCTCGAATTGACAGATGATTATTTGACAGACGATTTGGTATAAGGACGGAATAAAGAATGGGAATGAAATGAACAAAAAGATTATTTTTCCAATGCGTGTGTGCCGTGTGTGTAGAAATGCATGAATGTATGGTATGGTACTTAAGGTTTGGGAAGATTGTTCGTCTTTAAACTCAAGTGTATGTAGCTTTTCGTCATCCTATTTTTGATCACAATGTATCTTTAAATGTAAATAAATGTAAATGTATCCAATCTGAGGATGAGTTGATTCATTCGTGAATTTCAGGTTACCTTGAAACTAATTGTAAGTTTCATCTCTAAAGTCCTAAGTTTTACTTAACCTACGTTGATAATCCCTGTATCGCATAGCTCTATTCTGCTCTATGCGACCATTTTAAAAATGTGGCCCACACACAACACTACACAATACTCATAGTACCTAATGGGTACCCATCCACGTATTTACTGTACACATAAATATGCATGACCCCAGATAAAGATAACCTGTAAACCAATAATTATTGTGATCATGTTCAAATTGTTTCTTGTGTATAACCTGAAATATGTGCAGTGACACTAAAAAAATTATTATAAATAAATTAATTAACTCAATTCGAATAAATTTGATGAGAGTTATAGTGCTGCCAAGTATTATTCAGTCCTAGATAGTTTGATCGGCAGTTCCGTCTATGCCCTGACAAAGGCCAAAAAGATCAGCAGGAAATGAAATACATATGCTGCATCACAACAAGAAATGGAGATTATTAAAATACTGCACACAATAAACGTAACATTGCGGGCCTTGTGAAAATATCCCATCGTGATAAAAGCCTATAAAATAATGTATGCAATTTTTGGTCGTGCATTACGTTGATACGATATGCACAACATGAGACGTTAGATTACAAAGCGAAAGAGATCTGCCCGACTCATACAAACTTTCAATGTGTCTTCTGAAATGTATCAAAATAAAGTTTGAACAAATCACAATGAGAATTTTATACCTCTGTTGTCATCATTGAACCCTCTTCTTACGTCGGAGATGCCGCACCTTATAATTTGCGGATTATTATACGGATCTCATATGTCCGTGATTATTGGATTACCCATATTCGGATATCCATCCTCGCCGTTGTTCTCTATGAGGGCACCCACCATTTACCTTTAGCTCACAGCAATGTAGTTGGGGGGTTCGACCTTTGAGTTCAATTTCATTGAATGTGGGGTGTGAATGAGTTGTAACAAATTTGTTTGTCTAGCTTAAGCCACATAAAAAGATGATGTTGACTCATCTGAAGCACTCCAATATCTTCCCTTCAACTCTGCATTATATTCTCAATTCCTTTTCCCTACGCATTGTATCCTTTCAACTTTCAATAACCTCGTTGTACTTTGTAGCCATACGTTGGTGTCATGCATTGTTGTGGTCCTCAACTCTGAATGGTATTATAGTCCTGTGCAATTTTATTCATCTCGCCGACATAGGGTTTTATGTATTAAGTATTATACGTATGTACATATATTTGTTTGTACATCTATTAATCCACGTATGTAAAATAAACACAAGAATCTAAATATCTTACGAGCTCCAGAGTATGATGAAATAATATATGGTGGGATTTGTAGTGATTAAAATAATTTAAAATTAGTGAGTTATCTTTCCACCATCATGCATTCATTAATACTGATGATACCGATAATAAGGATGGTCACTATTGCATCTGATGAACTTATGCACGTGCGTGTATGATACTGCACATGCTGCACATTCAATGTCAGGATATATTTATATGCACAGAACAACCATAAAACAATTGTCTCGTGACCAGCAAATTATAAAAACTAACTATATTTATATCTTACATGGTGAACAACTTAACAAATTTAAATAAATGCAGATTACTCTATTTAGTCATCGCTTGATTCGACCAATAGTTGACCTTTTCACTAAACCGGAGAAAATTGCAGGTATAACATTAGATACTGAATGCTTCCTCAGCATTGACAACTCCAGCCTTATATTTCATTCCGGAACTTATTGCTCGGAATCCATATGCATCTAAAAAAATAAAATAAAGAACCAACTAGCATGCTTGCACAAAGAGAAAACTTTTTTGTATGTATTTTACTCGTGAGTAATATCGATCAAGAGAAACAGAGAAACGGGCATTGAATAGAATGATTATCGCACTCAAACATCATCACTTTCAAACTTCATCATCCGGTACACCGCAAACAAGGGATACTTAAATCCTGCCAGCAAACAATAGGAAATCCAAATAGCTCTCGTAATTCTTACTCCAAGATTCCATCATAGATTTCAAATTATTGAAAAGGTTACATTTCACTCGCTCGGCACTCTTTGTATCATTTGATCTGTCACTGCGGTTATGTAGCTGCCTGTGCCTCAGCGTTCCCATTTAGGTACATAATAAAGCATTTGGTTTGCACTCACTCCTCAGCCGTCCGAGTAAATCATCCATTAGCCACACAAAGACCGGATGGTAATCATTTGCAGCTTTAAACATATTTACCTGGACAGTCTGCATCTTCAGATTCATTCGTCTGCGAACAAGAAGAGTTCAACATACAGTCTGTAATCCCAGTCAGTGCTTTTAAAACGTTGACTAATAATAAGTAATTGAAGGCAGAGTACTTTGGATAAACTATAATGTAACTGTTACGCTTCTAAATTTGCAATGGTAAGTTTGCATTCGGAACTAGGAGCAAAATTTGTTTTCTTCAATATATCACAGAAGAATGCAATGCACGTTTAAATGAGGGGCAAAAATGAGACTACTCGTAGGCAAACAAATATGTTCGTTTCCAATGTACGAAATTATATGGTTGTAATGATTGAATTGAATTGGAAGGGTTGGTGACATGACAGGTGGTTGGGTAAGGGTTCAAAATGTTGACTAAATGATAATTAAATTATGATAAATAATTTACGTACTCAGCGGGAACAAAAGGGTTGACTTTGACGCATTTCATATCCGAGATTAAACCGAATAATAAATAAATATGTAGTTATATTTAGTAGAGCACCGGTCAACACGGAAAGGATTTTGAAGCATCATTGAACAACTGTTGGTGTATTATTAAATTTAATGCCCATTGTTGTTGATGTTTGTAGCCCAAGAACACCTATATAAAA